AGAACATTAGCCTCATTTCTAAAGAGAAGATGTGGGCTGCACACCAAGTATTCACTGTAGTCCACTGCTTATACTGCTGGGATCCACCTGGGAATAGTTCCTCTGGGTTGGTTTCTTTTCCTGGGGAGAGCTGTAAGAGGGGAGGTCAGTGGTATGACTTAGTCCTCGTTGCTGCAGATAGTCGTGAGGCCACACTGATGCTCACCATGTCTGTCCTCTATTTACCATTGTAGATTTCCTTGTTGGGGCGACCACCTGTGCCAGTCTGGGTGGCTTACCTGTGGAGTGACCTACTCTCATTTCTTGAAAAACAATGAAAAATAGCCAATTTTGCTGGTTCCTTATAGATGGAATGGGTTGGAGGTAGTAAATGAAAAGAAGCAAACAATCTGAAACAAAAGGCAAAACTGTTGGAGAAGGCTCATCGGACTGCTGGGTAGAGGCTGAGCCATTGAGGGGCGAGGATGGAAACAGAGAGATACGAGGCTATTGTATGAGTCTAGACAAGAGACAGTGGCAGCTGTACTTGGGTAGTGGCAGTGGAGGTGTTAAGAAATCATTAGTCTCTCTAAATGTGGGTATATTTCAAAGATAAACCTTTTGCCGAGGTGAATAAGATTTTGTCTGGGTTATCAAAAAATATGAATCCACTGGGGAAACGAGATTTATAATGGATTGTTTTAGCATAATGATGAGAGTAGCGGTAGATACCTAGAGGAGGGGTGGTTATGGAGCCCTACCTGAGAAAATCTAAGGTAGGACAAGGCAGAATATGAACTGAAGAGGTAGGTTGGGCCACACCGTGGAGGGTCTCATAGACCGAATTAAAAACTGGGACTTAATCCTGAAGTTGACATGTACGATTAAGCATAATCCTAAGGAGGTAACACATTCCAATTTATGACTTAGATTCTCCAAGTAACTCTGGTGAGTGTAAGAGGGCTCATGGGTTAAGATTGAAAGCAAGGAAACCAGTTAAAATATGCATTTGTCCAGGGTAGAGATAGTAAGCTAATATTTGTCATGTACTTGCAATCCATCAAGCACTAAACACTGTATGTATATTAACTCAATCCCCAGAAGAACCTTATCAGACAGGGACTGTTAATATCCACATTTTACAGATGCATAGACTCCAGCACAAAGAGGCTAAAGTAAACTTGCCCCAGTTCATAGAGCCATGTGGCTCTAAGCAGGAAGCAGGATTTGAACCCACACACTCTGGCTGGAGAATGTGTGCACTTATACACTGTGCTACACTCGTGTCCTTAAGATAAGAGCCCAGAGAGTTAGGGAAAATAGTAGGGTGAATCTCTTGTATTTTGTCCCAAACATAATAGTTAATTAGCTGTAATTTCACATTAGCGTTAACAGCAGTATCCATAAGATCCTCACCCTCCTATCATTTCCTTTCCTCCTTACTTAGAAGCTTGCATTCTCTTTTGGCATCTGTGTCTCTTTCTTGCTTTGCAATCTGATGCTGCCTTTCTGCAGCAACACAGGGTACAAAGCAGATGTTCAGGATGTGTCTTTGGATCAGACAGTATTGTGACATCAGGTAACCCAAGTCTGCGCTTTTGTCTTCTCTCAGAATTTCCTCCTAGGGGAGTGCCTCAGACTTGGTGTTCATTGGAGTGCTTTTCTCCACAGCTTTTGTTTGGGAATAGCTCAAATTAGATAAATTAACTCATGGCCACTGGAACATCAGTACTATAGGAGATTGTTGTGAAATACACTGGTACCTGGGGAGAAAAGTGTATGTTTCCACTAATCACCTGTAATGCAAACACAGACTGTAAATAGTCATTATGTAACTATTACTTTTCTAACTGTCAAAATGTGGAGAATTTGAGTAGTGCAAGGAGTTTATAGAGAAAACAGGGTCTGGAAAATGCTTGCCTTAGTTTGCCAAGTAAGTGTCGGCTCTGCTGCCTTACTTCTGATGGATTACCCCCAGGACAATCTTATTTCTTTCTCTTTTGGATTCAGGGAGGTACTGAACATCACCATCTTTTTCATGTGGTTGTTAATGATATTATTACAGTTTCATAAAGCACAATACCTACCGTACCTTAGGCCAAATGTTATTCAAAAAGAGCACATACAATTTGTAGCCCCTCTTCAAGCCTAAAGTATGACAGAGAGACACAAAAATAGCCAAGAAATAGATGGCTCCCACAAAGGTACCTTATAGCCGCAGTGGTAGGACAAGAGGGCCACAATCCCTGGTACCTCAGTGAGTGTTTTCTGTGTCCTCTGTGGTCAAGAAACAGAGCACTTGTGACTGAAGAGAAGGGATGAGGAGGTGGGCAGGGGTCTGCTCAAGGGAGAGAACACAGTCTGCATCAGAAACTAGGGGAAGGGGTTCTATTGGGGAAAGCCAGGAAGGATTGGAGATAAGTTGATGGCCAGTGAGTAGGCAGGGTTCAGAAGCCCCATATTTTGAAGAAATCTAAAGCACCTTAAAACACAAAGTTCAATAATATCAGCACATACCTGAGAAGCTATAAAGTTAACCAGCCCTGTCCAACCCTTCCTTCTGAGCTCACATTCCAGGTAAGGAACATTTTTATTTTTGAAATCCAGGTGCACAGTCAGGAGAAGGGAGAAAACAGTGACACCCATCTTTTTAATGAGCATTGCTAGTGGAAGAGAAATTAGCATTACCTTGAATTTTATGTGATGTCAGTTAAATGAAGGTATTTTATAGCACTTTACAACAAATTAGAATCAACTAAATTGAAAATAAGCCTAGCAGGTGGGATAAGTAATCAGGTAAGTGGCCAGTTTTGCTATTTTTGCTTTGAGTTGAAGACAGAATTTGAATTTCTAATGTCCCCGAGGCATAGGGTTCACAATTGGGGAGCATGGCTTCTGGGATGATTGTTTAAGATGCTAGCATTTCAGCTTTGCCCTCTGCTCTACAACTTGCTTAGCCATGTTCCTGGGAGATGGGCCCCAGCACATGGGCGTGCACGCCAGAGAGAGGGCTGTGAATTAGTGGAGGACAGAGCACTGCTTCTGGCAGAACACTACAGAGCAGACTGGAAATCGATGACCCAGAACAGGGTTGTAAATCATCCACATTAACTCAGGGCCTCTAATGAAATGACTGAAATTCATATGAAGACTTTATGGCCACTCATGAAATCAGCCCAAATCAGAGGGGCTATTAGAACACTTTTATGTTTTAAGAAAACGGTGGCTGTGCTCAGCTGCTGTAATTTGCAGTCAGAATGCCCTGACATCATAAATACTGGCTTTGGTGGACGGTGTTTCACAGCACAGCTTTTCACCCCATGAGGCAGTGTTTCTTGCGTGGATTACTAGATGATTGTAGCATCTGAAATACGTTCAGGAAACCGCTGAGGAGGCCAGAAGATGCTTGGCGCTGATACCTACATTGAGGTTGGTGGCCCAGGATATACCTGATGCTTGTGCAAGTTTGCATGTGGGGGCAAAAGAGAGAGGAGAAGATGTGAAAGGAGGGGAGTTCTCATAAATGAAACTTTGCAGTTCGCTCAGAGTGGACATGTTAAGGGCAACAAACGATAAAATGATGCTTGTAATTATGGTTTATAAAGAGAAGTAGCCATATTGAGTATATAGTTTTCATTTTTTCTCTTCTGCAGCTGATGAGTTAAATGAAATAACTAATCTGCAGAAAATCCATGTATCTATGTTGTTTTTAGTCCACCTTAGAGAAACATGAAATATGCAGATTTCTTTCTACTCTCCACTTGGACTTTCTACTTGAAACACTTTTCTCAAAATATATGTTATCTTTTTTTTTAATCTTAAAATAGTTACATAACTTTTCAGGTACCTAATTATTGAGCAGCAGATAGCTTTCCACATGAAAAGTAAAAATGATAAACGGAACCTTCTTTAATTTCTTCCATAGTCATTTCTTTTTCTCTAACCAGCAGCCCTCACTTGATTTTCAACACTTTATACTTTTTTTTATTTTTTTTAATGTTTTTATTTATTTTTGAGACAGAGAGAGACAGAGCATGAATGGGGGAGGGGCAGAGAGAGAGGGAGACACAGAATCGGAAGCAGGCTCCCAGGCTCTGAGCCATCAGCCCAGAGCCCGACGCGGGGCTCGAACTCACGGACCACGAGATCGTAACCTGAGCCGAAGTCGGACGCTTAACCGACTGAGCCACCCAGGCACCTCAACACTTTATACTTTAGATTTGGATATGGAAAGAGCAGAGTTTTAAATTTCCATCATCATTACCTTCTGTACCCTAAACTGGAATGAGTACGCAGGAAAGGCTGACTTCTCTGCTAGATATCAAATATATGATGACACCATGGAAAATGGGACGGGTCTCTGATGAATCCTGCTAATACTGAAAACATATCTTCGCTATTGATCCCCACACTGACAGCCTCTAGTGCTTGACCCTGTTCAGCCAACTTGGGTGTTGTTCCAGGTGGCACTTCACAGGTTTGACAGATCATCGTGCTCTGAAAGCATTAACACATATGCCCGAGTCATAGAGGTTATCCACTGTATTTTGTTGCTTTGATAAAAATGGGTGCAGAGAATTGAGTGAATTTATCGGAGAGAGGTTCAAATGTACTGACCTAGGACTTTCAGAGAGGCACTTCTTTGTAATACCTCGCCTCTTTGTTTTGTGCTGCCCTCTGCTGGCTACTAAATTTTGTAGTAATGAGCCTTGAGAAAAACCAAGTGGTGGAAAAAAAAAAGTGGAAGCTGCTGTCACCTCTGCTTTCCATTAGAAAGTAATTTCCCATTTTATTTTGTGAAATGTGGGCTCAATGTGTAGTGATTAATTCAGATGCACTGAAGATATAAATTGGAGAAAATGCATGAGACTAATTTGGTTATTTATATGGACTTTGTAAATGTAAAAGAAATAATTCTGTAGCTTATTGCATGATTAGTCAGATTTTCTGAATCATCAATGTGAAAATCCAGTGTTATTGTAAATAATTTGGACATGTTTCTCCATGTTTGTATTTTTCAGTGGCTGCTAATTTACAGAAGATTGTAGATGATCCCAAAGCTTTAAAAACACTGACATTTAAGTTGGTAAGTTGAAAGTTCTGGTAAGAAGGTAAATATTTTGCCATGCTCTGCCAGCAAGGAACAGTAACAGTTTAATAACCTGCTCTGCAATGTTGTTGCTATTGTTGCTTTCTTTCGGGATCCATTTTTGCATCTTGTCATTTGCCTGTTTAACATCTGGGAACATTTTCTGACCATGACCGGGAGTTTACTCTTCCATGAGTGTAGCTTGCTTCCCAGTACATCTTTAAGAGGGGTCACTGGAGAAATCTTGAAGCCTGTACTGTTCTGCCAACAGTTTGTATGGCACCTTGACCATACAGACAAAATTAAACTTCATTCCAACCAACACTGTTAATAAAGGTTTCCCAGAGTGAAATCCAAGTGGTTCTAACTTTTAAAAATTGAGGCTGATTGTTGTAGAAATGGGTTAGGTAATTGGAAGCGATTGTAGAACTACTTGCTGAAGGCTTGTGAACAAAGACCTAACATTTTAACTCCCCATTTCAAATCACAGCAATAGATTCTCGTAGAGAAGAGGTGTTCCAGCAGTTTTTCTGCTCTAGCAGACTTGAAATGTGAGAACTGGCGTGGCCATAAAGATATAGATCCTGAGCATTCTGGCGTAATTCTAAAACCAAGAGACACGGTGACCATGGCCGGAAATAGAAGTCCAAACAGTCAAAAGTGACTATTTTCCTGAAAGTTTGAGCAAACAGTACATTAAGTGACTCATTTTAAAATTATGAATCTTATCGAGAGCCAGTCAGAATGCCACAAGCAATTTAAGATATAAATGACTAACACTTGGCTGTGCACAATATGTATTGATGATCTGTCTTTTTTATTTCTTGTGAAAATTTAATGGAAAGTGTACACGGCCAAAGACATGAAAATGATCAGTTACAGTAAATGTTAGCCCTGTGCTAATGAATTTTCTGGGTCTTGCCTCTTGCCTGATTTCATATGGCTAGGCTGTGGGATGAAAGCAAAACACAAAGAGTCTCACAGAAAGAATTTATCTGAAGAAATTTGTTTCGATAACAAAAAGAATGGTTTACTCAGACACAGAATGATGAAATTAACAAATTGAAAACCCATCTTCTGGTTTACAACATTTCTGTCACCTCTATTGTGATTCCAAGCTGCCTACATCTTTGTGAACATATTTCACTCATATGAGAATGTACTGATGGAGAAAATGGTACCCTGTGTCAGGATTTCAAGCCAATATTAATGTTTCTTTATTCATTTTTTATACCATAACAAAGAAGTTATAACACACCACCTCCAGAAGATCGGTCTCATTTTGAATATGCAAACAGAGATAAGAGATTAGAGCTTTTGTGCTGGCTTAGCCCCACACTCGCTAAACTTGCTTACCTATGAAACAGGAATAGCAACCCCCCACCCTTTGCCTATTACTGAAGGTCTTATAAAAACAGCTACTATAGGGGCGCCTGGGTGGCTCAGTCAGTTGA